TGGGGCCAGTGCACAGGGTGGGTCCGTGCGGTACAGGACTGTCGGATGTGGCAGGAGAGGGCCCTGTGTGTGCAGCTCCCTCCGCTGAGAAGCTCGGGTTTGGCTCACCCTGAGCTCCATTTCCCACAGCCTTGCCTGAGGAAAGTGAGGTGCCAGGCAGCTGTGTGCATGCCTAAATTCAGGGGGCCCCTCCGGCACAGGCTAGGTGGGGAAGGCCTGCTGGCTGACCAGATGGGGCAGGGCCCTCCAAGTGAGATGGCCAAGAAGCAGGGGGAGGGGCCCAGGTGCTCACCTTTGAGGAAGCAGTCTGTCTTGAAAAGCTTCACACACTTGTTGCTGGGCAGCAGGTGTGGGCCCGGACCAGGTGGGTTCTCGGGCGAATCCCAGGAGATGTGGAGAGGGCAGAGGCGCTGCACAAAGAGCCCCTGGGGGTTGCTGGCCACCATGAGGCCCTTCTCGAGCTGGTTCAGCAGGTGCTGGGTGGGCTCTGGTGGGTCGGGCCTGGGGAAAAACACCTGCTCCATGTTGCTCTGGGAGCTCAAGGGCTCGGCCACCAGGCGGCAGTCCAGGGCGTGCACCTGGGTCTCCCTCACCACACGTCCATTGTAGATGAAGGTTAGCAGCAGTGAGTAGTCTGGGGACAGAGAACGGCCCGACTGCACCTGGTGCTGCGGGAGCTTGCAAGCCAGCAGCAGCAGCACCACTCCCTGTCCCCCAAGGGTACACCTGATCAGCACGAGCCTTTGGGGAAAAGAGATGGAGCCCCTTGTCAATCCAGTTTCCTCCTCTTACTGATGAGGACCAGGCCCAGAGAGGTACAGCAAGCGCAATCTGGGGAGGACAGAGCCGGCAGTGGGGCTGGGGCCAGGCCTGCACCTGCTGAGGCTATTAGACAAGACGCCTTCTCCTCCTATGGTCAGGCTCCACCCCGCTCTCACCAGCCAGGCGGATTCCACCCCGCTTCCCTCTTGACTCTCACTCACTGCTATCGAGGCGATGCCGACTCACAGTGAGTAGCCCTAGACAACAGGGCCAAACTGCCCCCATGGGGCGAGACTGACTTTATGGGAGTAGATCTCCTGCAGAGTGGCTCATGGTTCCAAACAGCTGACCTGGCAGTTAGCGGCCCAATGCAGAACCACTGTGCCACCGTGGCTCCTTGTTGTCAGGGCACAGCTACTAGACCTATTCCTCCTGAGGCCTGTGAGCTTAATGCCCAGGGTCCTGTGGTTTGTATCCTGCGGCTTGTATCCAGAGATGGGCCCTTGTTCAACCCAAAGAAAGGACGGTCTCACAGAGGACTCCAGTGTACAGAGCTGTCCGGGAGGGGCCAGCTGCTTGCAGTCTGGCCAGACAGCTGCGGGAAGTTGCACTGCCTAGAACCCAGCGTGTCCCTGTCTGCGGTCAGGGGAGTCCAGCTGGCTGCAAGCCCTGCTAGATGGAAAACCTGAGGGTTACAGGCAACTGAGACAAGTCAGAAACGCCAAGTACCTGGGTTTTGTGGGAGCTCAAGGTCCAGAGACCCTTCGTCCTCTTGAAAGGGCTCATCGGTTGTGTTCACTCCTGGAAGGGAGGCAGAGGCACTGGTCATTCAGAATGGGACTAGAGGTCCAAGGGCCAGGGCTTGTGGCACTGCTGGGAATTGGTGGGGGGACACCGGAAGCAGGGGACACATCACCTTCCTGAGGCGTGGGGCTATCGCTGCTGCTCTCGCTGCTGCTACTTCTCCCCATCTCTGTGTGGTCTGCTTCCCTGCTGGCTCCCCTCTCCTGTGGACACCAGGTCTCATTGGCCCACCTCTTCCTCTGGTTACTTACTGTCCTGCCCTCTAGCACCCAGTCCCTGCTTCCAGCTCTCACCTGACTTAGGGGCTCCTGGACCCAGAAGGGCCCAAGCCTGTGCTTCTTCATGGTCTCCTCCTCTTCTTCCTCCTCCTCCCCCGCTGAGGGTATGGAGCTGTGGTGTCGCTTTGATGGTGATTTCTGGGTGTCCGGCTGGGCTGTGGAAGGTGGTGGAGGTGGGAGAGGAGAGTCAGGGCCATAAGCAGGACGGCGCAGGGGAAGGGTGTGCAGGGCTGGGGAAGGGAAGGCAGCTCCCGAAGGGCAGGAGCAGGGCCGAGTGAATGAGCGGCCAGGGACAGAGGCCAGCACTCTCCCAGGAGACGCCCCCCCACCCACCCCCGGGTTTAGGAATAGCTGAGCATGGGCTCACCAGCGAGTGTTCCAGGTGGCAGCAGCCGATACACCTTGTAGGGCTCGGCGCCATCCATGTGGCCTCTCTCGGGAACCTCCTCAAATTCTGGGCTCTTGTTGAGGGCACAGCGCAGGCGAGTCTTCCAGGT